CAATTAAGAAATGGTGGAGGAGTTCAAAAGACAAATTTTGTGTTGGCGTATTTATTATTTAGATACTAGGCGTACTAAGTTAATGTTCTAATAACAAAAGATATATAAGCCACTCAGATCCATCACTTGTGCACAATAAAAACAAAGGAAAGTATGCAAGCTGCAGCGCGACGACCGATCGCTCATGTGAACGCTCTCATATGGCTACATGTACTGCTACGCCGGTAGAGCTCGACTAGCTAGCCACGATTAGTCGCGACACTTCGCTAAGAAGTGGACCCTGGCGATCATTTGCGACACCCTCTATCGCCGTGGCCATACACTCGTGTGAACAGCTCCATTTGATCCTGTGGTCCGCTACCAAGTCCCACCGACCTAGTCATAGCTTAAGCCGGGTTTACACTATGTAGCAAAACCTGCTATATAGCAGATTTGTGTAACATCTAGCAATGTTATATAACATTTGCTAGAAGTAGAAAAAGTCACTTTTCAAAAGTGCTATATAACACTGCTATATGTAGCAGATTCTGCTATATATAGCAAAAATTGTGCTATCCATCGGGAGTCGGTAAAGATCAAAAGAAATGCGTGCTATATCTAACATTGCTATATGTAGCAATGTTATACACATATTTTTCGTCTAGCATCTGCTATATGTAGCATTTAGTGTCAACAGTTCACAAAAGTTCACAGTTGTAGCCTCCTGTGTACGGACGTTTGGGTGAGGTTCATAATGTCCAAATTTTACAAACTCCAACGTCTAAAATATTAAATAAACAGTGCGTTTCATAACCTCCAAATTTCATAAACTCCAAAACTATAACTTTCAAATAATCACCGATTCACAATGTCCAAATTTCACAAACTCCAACGTTTAAATATCAAATAAACAGAGCGGTTCATAACCTCCAAGTTTCATAAGCTCCAACGGTACAGTCTCTGTCACTGAGCTAAAATTATAACTGGAGGTAGCACTGTCATGGCAGAAGTCTGTCAAAAGCGAGTCGCTGATTTTGTTAGGTTGGTATAGCAGTAAGTTTTCTTACCATAGCAATAACATGGCTTCTTATAACTAGGTTGTATAGCAGTGAGTTTTTTTGTCATAGCAATAACATGGCTTCTTATGGACACCCACCTCACGCAAACATGGCGGCTGGCGACACGCATCTTTGACATTCAGTGCTACCTCCAGTTAGAATTATAGCTCAGTGGTCTCTGTCAGAAGTCGCTGCAGAGGTTGCCGTGGTTCGGTATGTAGGTTCTACTGTTGTAGCGGTGTAACACGAAGTATCATTGTTGCTCTGTAATTGCTTTCTTAAGAGTATAAGTATATATTCTTAAGAGTTCCCATAGTCCGATCATGCTGGTTCGCGAGCTCGTTCGAATAAACGTAGGTTTACACGTTTATACCAAATTTCATCAAAATCGGATGATTTTTGCTCGAGTTATCGCGCTAACGGACACACATATAAATATATATATATATATAACTGATGGTGTTTTTGGTCTCTAGGGACCTCAAAACGAACAAGTAAATCGGTCCCGGGACCAGGTCTTACCATGAGTACTACGGTAATAGCTTATTCCCTATAGGGGAAATTCGCTAAAATGTAAATTTGATTTGCACATTGTGTGCTAACACATATTTGAGTCACACATCTGAGTGTTCTTCAATCATTAAAATGTACGTATAATCAGTAGTTGAGCGCTGGCGAACGGTGCCTGCTATCTGACTGTGGCAACCACTAGAGAGACTTCTGGCCCAGACTGTACCGTTGGAGGTTATGAAATTTGGACATTATGAACCGCTCTGTTTATTTAATATTTAAACGTTGGAGTTTGTGAAACTTGGACATTGTGAAACAGTGATTATTTGAATGTTATAGATTTGGAGCTTATGAAATTTGGAGGTTATGAACCACTCTGTTTATTTAATATTTTAAGCGTTGGAGTTTGTGAAATTTGGAGTTTATGAAACGCTCCCGGACGTTTTTGCTCGGGGATCCTTGTTTACAATGGAAGGACTGTAAAGCAACAGTGCGTGGAATCGGGATGCTATTATAAACTTTAATTGAACTGTTCCGTGGACAACCGGCGTTGTGGTTATACGTAAAACGTTTTTCAATCTACCACCGCCTTATTTCGCGTTTTAATTATGGATCGCTTCCGCTTCTGACTTCCGATCACCGTGATAGCCAGGGCCGGATTTAGCATTTTTGCGCCCCTAGGCCCAAATAATTTTCCGCCCCCTAGTCTGGTCACAGTTACTTTCCTTCAAACCTTTATTAAAAACTATATCATGCCCATTGACCTAAGTTTATTGCTTAAATACCACTCCTCGTTGGAATCATTGCAAGTTTTTTTTTAAGAATTGACTTGTTTATTATAGCCTTAACAAAATGCCGCCTTAAACACTTTTAGCAATTTTATGCTTTTAATAAATGCTCACGTTTGTGGCCGTGGGACTAAAACAACCCACCGAGCATTCCTGAAAAAAAAAACATGGCCATTGATTCCAATTCCAGGCCAAAAAAACATGATCTCCAAACAGTACGTGATACCATAGATTAAACATACTCCTTTAGTAGATTTGTCATCATTTTGGATTAGCTGAAAACAATTCTTGTTATTTAATAGTACCTAGTATGTTTGATCTATGTTTAAACCACGTTTAAACCTAGTTTATCTAAAATAATACCCCCGCCGCAGCAAACCTGCTGACTAAGCGAATTTCCATTTGTCTGAATTGATTTTCAGTTAAATTATATTTTAATAACATTAGGTTTAACGAGTACCTAGGTTTGCTGCTACAAGGAAACAAATAAAGTGTGTTTTTGAGTAAAATATTGATAGCTTAGTACAAAATAAATAAATTTGACAAGTTTGATCAAAATATATTCATAAACAAGCAAACTACAACATTTGACAATATTCTCCATAAGAATAACGTGGGAATTTTAAATTTACAATTTTTTTAATTTTCCCCGTTACTAATAATTGAAAAAAAATACTTTTATATACTAAATTATTTGTTTTTTTAAGCTCTTTAAAAAGGTCTAAAGAGAAATTGGGAAATTTTGTGTTTTGAGGGGCAAAAGTGAGAAAAACCAATTTTTACCCCATAAAACCCCCCGTAAAGCCCCGTTCCCATGGTCCGATCGTGCTGGTTCGCGAACTCATTCAAGTTTATCCCGCTTTACACCTTTAAACCAAATTTCATCAAAATCGGACAAAAATTACCCAAGTTATCGCGTTCACGGACGTATATATATATATATATATATATATATATAAGTCTATATATATATATAAACATATATAAAAATTTGAACGAATAGTGTTTTTGGCCTCTGGGGACATCAAAATGAAAAAGTAAATCGGTCCCGGGTCTAGGTCTTACCGTGCCACCTACGGTAATAGCTACTTCCCTATAGGGAAATTCGCTAAAACGATCTAATCATCAACAATAGGTCGTCTCCTGGTTATATTACAAGAAATTGAAACACACATCATAGAACTAACCCTAAAATAATGGAAACAAAATTACGTCAAAACTAACGTCCAGTGTCACCAACATGAACTAGACATGAAAAAATTTTGAATTAACAATGTCATAAGAAGTCGACTTGAGTTATATTTAATCTATGGTCGTACTGCATGTAGGTTATATATTTCCAAAGCAAAAGAGAGAAATATTCCGGCCAACCGTCGATCCTTAGGTCTGAGGAGAAAATGACAGCATTATTGGTGCTTTGGAGGGTATTGAATTTTTCTAATGCAAACTGAGATTAATATTTTTTGGTTAGTTTTAATGGTAAATTCATCGTTGTATTAATATTCAACACAACTTATTAACTTGATCCGGCAGATTGTTGTAAACTAATCAAAAGATTAGTTAATAACTTTTGTTTTGTGAGGTGAGGGTAGTAACAATGTCTAGCACGCATGCGCCCCTAATCACTCTGATCAGTAGTGCCGAGCCCAAACCAGCATAGTGGCAGTGCAGTGGCAATACGATGCGTACTCCTTGGGCGTTCGTAAACGTCAACATCCCTACAGCCTACTCCCGTATAACCAATGTTCGTTACCAATTTTGAAACGAAATTGATGCGTAATTCTGAAAAATAGTTTAGATTTCGTAACAATTATTTCTTCTTATGAACTTCAGAATCACAATGCTTTGGAGTTTTTTTATCAACTGTGACTATTTATTGTTTTTATTTTTAGATAGCCTAGGTATAAAAAAAAATACTCTCGGCCGTGCGCCCTCTGGGACCTTGCGCCCATAGGCCCGGGCCTACCGGGCCTATTGGGAAATCCGGCCCTGGTGATAGCTGCCTCGAACAATGTCTCTTCGGCTCGACATTTTCGATACAGAATGTAAATGAGGTTGTGCTACATATAACATATAGCACGGGCACCGGAATCACAAAATTGTCTGTAACTTTTTTGTATAGTAAAAGTTATATAGCAATGTTATATAGCAAAAGTTATATAACAATGTTATATAGCAAAAGTTATCCCTAGCAGTTTTTGCTACATAGTGTAAACCCGGCTTTAGTCAGACCTAGTCAGCTAGGTCGTTCTGTGAACCGGGTGTTATAAGCACCCAAGGTTTTTTACATATTGCGAGAAAGAAACATTTGTTTACTACAATTTTTTATCTGGACTTATTTTTAAACAACCAGTGTCCAGTGTCCAAAACATTGTTGGTTCTATCGCAAACTTGATCTTATTTTCCAGTGTATGCAGCAGCACTCCACAGCCAGCCAACACAGCTCAGAATAAAACCTCTCGTAGAAGATTAGACATGGATTTGGAAGAGGATGAGATAGGCCTACGCCGATCACTTGAACCACTACTCCTACTACAGCAGTGAGAATGAACCACCCTCACTGGTTGATTTTTCAAATACCTCAACTGAATATACAATAAGTACTGCTACATTAAAAGTGATAGATCAGTGGACTTCAATTCACAATAACATTGAAGTGTAACTTGTGCAGCGAAAAGCTCTAGGGCCTACCTACATTCTAAGATACGAATCCAGAAACAAAGGGTGTGAACACAGGCAGCATCGCTGGTTCTATGGCTGTGGGAATTAGCCACTCCCAAATGGAAGAGTTGGAGCTACCATCATGTCGTTAAACAAGTACAGCAAAAACTCATGATAAAGTTGCAGACAGTTGAGAAGAAACTTTACTGGAGGAAATTAAAGCTGCAGTGACCGAAGTTAAGTACAATTTGCCAGGGACAATGGACAACTATCTTTCATCAGATGAACCCAATTGTAACTGTGGCTGCTGATTGGAGCTGGACAAAGTGGTCATATCGAACCAACCACTAATTAGCTGGGATGGTAAGTAAACACTTTATTGATTTTTTTGACACAGCCTAACCTTGAAAATATTTTATTGTTGATGTGAAGAGAATGCTGTATGTAGTAAGTAATTAAAAAAAGACATCACAACAACTGAATACATGTAAAATGTCTATAAAAACTCTGTAACCAATCAATTAAACGCTAATCATTTATAAAAATAGGCCTACTTATGTAATTATATGTATTTTATAAAGTCAACCTGTTGAATAGTACCTGCAGCTTGTGAGCAAAGTTGTGGCAAATACTGTAGGTAGGCCGACTTATTTAAATTAGAGGAAAATGATGCGCCAGGCACAATGTTATCGAGTCTATCAAACATGCCACTTTGAATAAGAATTGCACATAACATTTTGTCTACAGTTATTATGTGACAACAATAAAATTATGTGTTTAAAAACATATCATAGACGTTAGAATGTTTTGTGACTGACTTGCACTATCAAGGCGTCGGACCCTAGGCCTTCTATGTAATTGACAACTTCAAAATTTTGTCAACGTTAAAACTCTTGATTTACTTCACGTAAATCACCTTCATAAATAAATAGGTAATGATTTGTTTTTAAACTAAAACATTTTTCCCACACGCTTTTGCCCGCAATCACCTTTCAATGCAAAGTGTCTTAGAACACATTTATTGTTAAGGTGGTTTTGTAAATAAAATATCTTGAGTTGTAATTAATTGTTACCATTGAAAATAATTTTGAAAATTTTGAATTGACACCGAGCTGTAAAGCAAAATACAATTTACAATGGAGAACCCTAAAATACTATCTAACCTAACATATAGCCTAAATGGTATTTTATATAAACTGAACTTAAAGTATTATTTAAAACAATTTGATTTGTGGTCTATTCCAACTGAGTTTAAACATTTTTTTTTTGTTTTATTGTTTTCCTGTATATTTTTATTTGTTTACTTTTATGTTAAACCTAGTAAACTTTCTTAACGTGCAGCACTTTTCTTATTGATATTGAATTCGAAAGCGATTGATATTGTTTCAGTCAAATCTTACATATAACATCTATTTTAATATTAGGCTAAACAAATTGTATTCTCATTTTGTTTGAGATAAGCCTCCGAATCACTGACCAATACGGGTACTGAAATTACCTGCTTTCGAGTGATTCTAGTGACCATGAAATGCGACTGGTTTCGATCCTCACGGGATCATCTTCAGGCGGACGGCGTCATCTTCATTTTGTTCTTGCTAAAACATCCATTTAAAAAAAAACTGAGTCTCTTTTTTCAAAACCCAAAACATGTAAAAATGGCCAATAATTATCACCGATCGGTCAAGCAGCAGGTTGTAGAGTCTAGAGTCTAAATTTGTAGGGTGGGGCAGGGAAATATACCTACTTTTAAGATGGTACTGTGAGTAGTGGGGGTGTGCTGGAGGAATGGGGTTAGGCTCAAATGAAGCTTTTGTTTTGGGAATTTCTAAAAATATCACTATCAGTAGTAGATATGGCTTGTTCGAGTGACCAATGTGCTTTTGCACTCGAGATGTATTTTTTCAAAAATCTGTCTATTGTTGCTGTGCAGCTACCATTGGCTGTCGGGTTATCGGGTGGCCTATCGCAAAGCTGTTACAATTTATTTGGTGTGGGTGAATTACTTTCGTGTATGTGGTGGTGTATTGCAAAGGATATTTGGAGCTCAAAGAACGGTCCGGAGTCTTGAAAACATTGACCTTGTCAGAAGATTGTAAAGAAAAATAAAAAAAAAGGAAAAGGGTTTCCCCTTTCTACTACTTTTATATTTAAATATTGTATTTAAATATATTTACTCCTTGCAATGCTCTCTAATGAATTCTTTACAAATGTTGGTTGCCCCTAGGTTGGAAGAACTCTAGAAAATAAAAATATCAGACAGAGCTTTTGGCAGTGGAAGCTTGATGTTATAAAAAATATGTGTGGGCCCTGCAAAATATAAATATTCCCCAAAGGTCCTTGGGGGACGCCCTTGGTACTGTTATGGTTCTTCCAAAATGTAATACCTTTAATGAGAACAATTTACCAGTCTTAATTCTACACTTAATTTACTTGCTCACTACTACACTAGTGTTTAGTGTTGCACTTAAAAGGTGAATCTTTTGTAGTGGCTTATGATTTACTGAATTACCTTTTGTTTACCAATTAGATACTATTGCATATACTGAATTACCAAGGTTATTGAGAACTAAAGAGTGAGTAACAATTTGATTTATTAAGCAGTATTTAAGATTTACAATGATTTCGGTTTGACAATTTCTGATTGTGTGATGTAATATAAAATATGACCGTGAGTGATACAATCAGACTGAATTGTTTTGTTTGAGAACGTTGAATGGATTTATCAAAGGGGAATATTTGGCGCGGTTTCACACCGATCTCGAAGGTGTCAACGGAGGAGTGGTTTTTTAATTTAATTTGAGATGACCAGTGCCAAGCAAGTCCTGTTCGTTGGCCAACGATGTAAATATGAAGGTCGATTCTCGAAGGTCAACTGATTAAACAGTATTGCGTTTAATCGTAATAATATTTACTGGAACGTCTCTTATTGTTTTATGGCTAATTTGGCACTTTGGCGGTTCATCTATATGCAAACTGGCACAGCCTCCGATAACACTTCCGGATTCAGCCGAACCAGCTACCTAATCCCTCCTTTGATATTAATTGATTCCCCCAAATTTAAATACTGATTGTGACACTCTTTGACGAATTGTACCTTTAATAATGACTCTGTGCAAAATTCAAATACTATATAAAAATATTACAAAGCAACTCTGAATTACCCTATAAAAACATTTTCATCTATTTATTCTTAATGCTATTGAATTACCACAGTCTAATAAATAAAGAGGATTGTTAAAATATGAATGGATATGAAAATCAGCGAATTGGGATCGAACCGGGGAACATGTGCTTATTCTACATGAATTAACAAAACAAGACAGGAAAATTTACAAAGTATGCGACTCACTGAAATTTAAATATATAACAAATAAATAACACAAATTACTTACAGTTTGGACGTCCACAAATATAACACAAACAAAGGGATCAGGATGAGGAAATGTAACAAGTCGGTATTCTACAAGACGCGATCAATTGAAACTCGTGTGAACGTTTGAGAAATTTTCAAATGGCGGACCGCGTTTGGCCGGTAACGAACTTTTGCACTTTTTGACAACAACACAAATTCTAATTTCCGATCGCGAGGCAATTATATCCCTTAGGGATATAGGCTGAACGACTTTAAGGAAATTTGAGATTGCCCGACCAAACGCCGCGAGATGAATTAAATTTGCACAAACGAAAGTTTTACCGAACTAGTTACGTTGAGATTTGGAGAGGAACTGAACTGCTGGAAGCAAATGACCATCCGACTAGACCTTATCCCCTCTACTCCTTTAGTGCGTGGTGCATTCTGGTCTATACTGATCTATTGTTCAGAACAGCTGACTGTTCTTCGCGTTAACTTGTATTGATTTGTTGCCTTTTGCAACAAAATCGGTACAAGATCGATTTTGCAGTCTCCTCAAAGTTCTCCTTGTAAGCATGCATCCGCGCTGGCGTTGTCTAATCGTACTGTGTCTCGTATTCTCCATGAGGACTTACACCTCCATCTATACAAGAGGGTAGTTGCTCATGAACTCACACAAAGGGACTGGCAACAACGAATGCAGGCATGTGAAATCTTAATTGCGGGACTACCTCATGCTGCTCGGGTTTTGTTTAGTGACGAGGCACACTTCCATATTCCTGGAGCGGGTAAATAAGCAGAATGTGCTCTATTGGAGTGATGCTAAGCCTAGGGTAGTTCAAGGGAAGACCCTAGATGCCTTGAAGGATGCAATTCACTTTGAATGTTGCCTCTTTCCACAACAAATGCTTCACAAAGTTATAATGAACTCCAGAACCAGAATACAGTAATGCATTTAAGATTAGGGACACAACTTGTAGGATATGCTGTTTAAAACCAAGTAAAGTTATATTAAAATAAACTCCCAGATGTAACCTTTTAATCTCAATAAAAAGTTTGGCTCTAACATTTTTGGTTGTCTTTTAATTTACCTTTGAAATTAGGGATACTTCCCTGCCCCACCCTGTATTCATAAAGAACTGGAAATATTGGTTTCAATAAATTTAAAAATAAATACCACCAATCTTTTTATAGTCTAGTTTTTGTTTTATAAAAAAAAGTTAATTAATTGATTAAAACAAATGATTTGAACATCTGTTGATTTTTGAAAAAAGTCACATTCTGAAAGAATAGGAGATGGAGTGATAGAGGATAGGAGATAGGTTGATCATCGCAAGAACAGGTGATCGAGTGGGCCATTGATCGTCGTCAAAGCATGAGATGACAAGGCCTCAGAACATTCGTTTCACAAATTCATTTTTTATTTATTTTATTTTTTATAATTTTTTCCCAAGTATTTTAAATGTAAGTGAAGGTTGAGCGTAGAATGAAGTGAGATGCCTTCAAGTGAGAACTTCATCTACGGAGTTATTTATCGTAGAAAGCACAGACTAAGTATGTTGGTCACCATTGACAATGAGTACAAACCCTTAAAGAAGTGCAATGTCGTTGTAAAAAAATCAGTCTGGAAATATATGAATTTTCTATACTTAGCTCCCGCGGCAGCCGCTAAGTAGGCTATCGCGAGTGCAAGGCCAAGTGAGAGAGAGGAGTCGAGAGAGATAGAGTAGTGCGGCGGCCGCGCAAAGCTCATTTCGGCAGCAAAATTCCAGTCTGACTATTCTCCATAAGCATTTTTCATTTTTCTCAAAGGGTTTGTATTCATTACCACTGATGAACTAAAAACAGAACACTCAGATCTGAGAAATAATTATTTGTTTGTTTTGATTAATTTAATTCGCATGTTTCAGCTGATCGAACAACGTAAATAAACATTAAGCTTTCAAATGACACATCATTTAAATTGGTGAAGAAAAAAGTTTCAGTCTACAGACAAAAAAAAAAAACACTT